TATCCAGAGCTTGAGATTGTTGAATTATTTTAGCAGGATTGTAAGTCGATACGGGATTGTAAGTGGAGGAATAACTAGACTAGCGGACGGTACTTTTTCAAGTTGAATTGTATATTTTGGATACATAGCACGTTTGCTAGACACCAATACCAAAAACCACCTACAATCGGAGATAGAAAACTCCTATATACGAATTTTATTTATTTATTTAGTTTTTTTTTTTTTATCTTTTTCACTTCTGCTAGCCGATTCTCCTCCGTTGCCTTTTACATCGATATTTCTCGCTCGCGATAAAATTCAACCTTTCAACCGGGCAGTGTTTTACGGCCAATAGGAAACCAAGAGGGGGGAAAAAGAATCGCCGTATATAGTACAATACACATACATAGGTATGGCATTTTATTGGCGGTGGGAATGGGTGACGAGGGGGATCCGGTGGGAGAAATGTATATAGCATTTTCGGTGAGGGAGTAGTATGCTATCGGAGGATATTGATCCTCGCGTCCGTCAAGTACCCGATGGTCCCTTCTCTTCATCTGATTCTTTTATCGTCTCTTTTTCTTTCGATACTTTTATTTCCATCCTATATCTATGGACTGTTTTTTTTTCTTATACCCAAAACAAAACTGCTCTACGCTTTTAAGACGGAATTTTGGTTAATTGATATAACTTACCAATAAATTTATGACGCGGCTTAAGTGATTAAGATGACCAGTACGCTCTGCTATACTATATATAGTATACTAAGTCAGCCAGTTTTAAGTTAGAGTTGAAGTTGTAAGTACAAGTGGACAAGTATTGGTTGCGCGCGCACTTTTGCCAACGTGACGCTATCGCTTCTGCTATGCTAGTACTTTAGCTTCTCTAGTAGTGATACTTTGGTCTTTACTTCTGGTCTTAAAGTAACGTACGGATACATCATAGATCAGATGTAACGTGATCAAAATTTTCTTTTCTTCCTCGGCAGAATCTAGTAGGTTGCTAAAGGGCATTGTTATCAGCAGGATGATTAAATATTGAAGCAGAAGGTGGAGCTCCGCAATGCAGAACAGGATCAAAATGACAAGAAGCAAGTGGTAGAGTGAGGAGTGAGATGACAAGTGGTCCTATCGGGTTTAATGTGAAGCAACCCCTTTGGACGTTACCTTGAACTGACAAGTCGCTATTTTTTATGAAAGCGGAGAGGTAGTTTCACCTACTATATACACTTGGATTGCAATATAAGAGGGTGCAAATCCGGACCAATGAGTGAGTCTCTCAGGGGTTGCTCGAGATGGATATGATGGATTTATGGATCTAATAATGTCTCGGCGCGGGATTGGTCCTCGCGGAATATGACGGGCGGGGCCGTTTGTAGGGGGTGAACGACAGCCACCCTTCGCTACCGCCAACTACGCCACCGTGGTTGTCAACGATTTCGACGTCGTCGTCCTCGGGTCTTCTCCCTTCTAGGAACGAGGAGAAATGTTGCACGTTTTAGTCCTCTGAAGTAGGGATGCAGTTCTTCTGTATTCTCTTTTAGCTATCCGTTCTTATCATTATCATTCATTTATTCACCTGTTTATTATTATTATTATTTATTATTTAGAAAATAAGCAAAATTTTGTGACTTTGTATCTTGTGAACTATTAACATTTTGAAAGATATAAGCTCATCCTGATGTTACACTCATCAAGACCTTTCATTTGAGTACCCACATCAATTTTTCATATATTTATATATACTATACATATATATGTATATATATGAAAAATATATCAAAATGCATGTGGGTACTCAAATCAAAGCTCTTGATGAGTGCAACATCGGGATGAGCTTACATCTTTAAAATTATCAATAATTAGGAAATGACCTTGTATCTCGTGAACTATTGACATTTTTAAAAATATAAACTCATCCCAACATTACACTATTCGAGACCTTTCATTTGAGTACCCACATCAATTTTTCATATATATATATATAATATTTATGTATACATGAAAAATATATCAAAATGCATGTGGGTACTCAAATGAAAGGTCTCGATGAGTATAATGTTGGGATGAGCTTATATCTTTAAAATATATATCATATATATGTATATATGAAAAATGCATGTGGGTACTCAAATAAAAGCTCTTGATGAGTGTAACATCGGGATGAGCTTATATCTTTAAAAATGTCAATCCCAACATTACACTATTCGACGACCTTTCATTTGAGTACCCACATCAATTTTTCATATATATATATATAATATTTATGTATACATGAAAAATATATCAAAATGCATGTGGGTACTCAAATGAAAGGTCTCGATGAGTATAATGTTGGGATGAGCTTATATCTTTAAAATATATATCATATATATGTATATATGAAAAATGCATGTGGGTACTCAAATAAAAGCTCTTGATGAGTGTAACATCGGGATGAGCTTATATTTTTAAAAACGTCAATAGTTAAAAAAGTACAGTGCAATTTAACAAAAGTCATTATTTAATAAAGCAAAATTTTATTTATTTTTAGTTTACAACTCACGGCAGTCACATAGTGACTGCAAGGTTGCTAGTTATTATTAATGTTGTTTTTTTTTTTTATAGAAAATTGTATTTTTTTATTCTTGAATTATATCAGACTGATTGAGTTATAAAAAATAGATGGAATTGTATCATAGAACTTTTCTTCTGCTGTATCGATAAAGAACAGTTTTTTTTTGCACAGTCTACTTGATTTTATTTTTATCCCTCGTCTGTCTTGTTTCTGTGACCAAGCTAGAGGCGTAAGAATAAAGAGAGGAGAAGAAAAAGTCCAAGTCCTGGAAGTAAAGAAGTAGGGGAATTGATGGTTTGAGGCGAGACAAACTTTTTTTTTTATCCTTTTTTTTTAATTTGATTGCTGCCGCGAGCTGATAACTATACTCAAGATTCTTTTATTGACTTTTTGTTCTTTACGTACACTTTCTCTCTTAATTAAAAAACAAATATTTTCTTTCTAAAATTTCATATATATAGCACGCGTACTGAAATTTTTGATTGCATGTTTAATTTTCTTCTTATTTATAATAATTTTGATCCAAAGAAAAGAGAGTTAAATTTTAGAATTTTTCTTTTATTGTGTTTGCAATTTTAATTAAAAAAATTCTTTTTTTTTCTTTTTAATTTGCTTTGATAAAAAATTTAGTGAGATTTATTTCTTATTCACAAATTTTTTAACCCGATGATTGAGAAAAATTTAGAGAGTAGTTAAAATTTGGTCCAAGTTTTCTTTAATCCAATAACTATTATTGACAATAGTATATTGGAATAGACGGTCCATTGTATCTGTTATAATTCCCGCCAATGAATAATTTCCATTTGTACGGGGATTCCGGCACAATATCGGAGCTCCCAATAAAGGCTGAAAAAAAAATGAAATACAGCTGGGTTATTCACAAATTATCTATTTATCTATATTCTATATATATAATAAATTAAATAAATTATACGTACATCTCTGTGATATGTAAATTTATTTTTAGTGAAAAAAACTTGTGAATCATCACTTATAACATTATTTTTTTCCCCATCAATGACTCCCGAAAAATTTATCATTTTGATGAATCTATACAGCTTGTTAAGATACGTAGAATTTGTGATAATAATTTCGAGTGAAAATTTACGTAAAAAAGTTGTTGAATTTGAAATAAAACCAAAGGTTTCTGCATCTTCTATCATTCTGATGTGATAACACCGTTTTGGTATATCTCGATTATAAATATAACTCAATGGTAAGGTATCCTCTATGTTTATTGGGTTGACAGTCTTTATAGGCTCGTTGAGAACCAATAGGACAGTTCTATTGATATGAATCCGGGATGGATCTAATTCAAAAGTTACTTCAACAGAAATCCACAATTAATGTTTGAAAAATATTTGTTAAAATTCATAATAAGGCTGATTTTATTCAATAATTAGCAAATTGAGGATGTAAAGATCAAATAAATATAATAAATAACAAAATTCTTTCATTAAACGAATTTTATGATTTGTTCACTTTCTAATCAAATTTTTAAAATAACTAGCATGAACCGCGCGGGTAATATGTCGGCAATATAATTTTTTAATGAATTAACCATTTAATCCGCATTTATTTTCTCTTATTTTCATTCTACCCAATGTAATATTCAATATACTACTGTTTATATGTAAAAATGTATGTATTAATTGAAAATGAAGTTAGCTGACATTTCAAAATTTTTAGAAATTTTTTATCGAAAAAATTTCAATTAAACAATTAAAAAAAAAATATCACATGTAAAAAACTTGAAAAACTATAAGTGCAATTTTTTATAAATTTTTTTTTAGTTGTAATTTAATTAAAAAAAAAAAAATCAAAAATTTTTAGACGTCTGCTTTCAGTGTCATATGTATTGATAACCCTATTATTGGCCTTCTGGCTGTTGGGTCTGTATTAAATAAATAAATAAATAAAATCACATTAAAATAAAAACTACACATAAATAATTTGTACACTAAAACTAATATATAATTAATAAATACAAAATATGTAAAAAAAAAGTAAACATATCAGTGAAGTTAATAACAACTAAAATTAATACAATCAAATTAATGAAAATAATCTTGAGCGCTTACTACCCTTGTAATAACCACACAGTGATTATTTTTTTGTCAATTTATCTGATGTAAAAATGATACTGATCGAACCTTATATATTTTAATAATAAAAAGTAAAACATTAAAAATTTTTTTGATCTTTTAAATTCTTAATTTGATGATTATTGAAAAAATTAAAAATTATTAATAAAAATGTATAGAAAAATAATTACCATCATTAGATTCTGAATCTTTTTTCACACGAATTACATTATTCAATTTATCCGTGTTTATTTTAGCAGATCCATATTTCCATTCGTAATTACCAACAGAATATAAGAAAGGATATTTTCTGTTTGAAAAATTATTATTATTTAATAAAAATTTCTGTGAAATAATAAGTAAATTATATATTTTTGTTACTCACTCGTCAAAAGCTTTTCCAGCAGATAAAACAACTCGAGAGTGAATTAATACCCCACTACAAAAGTATAAGTAATGATTCTGAAGGTTACCAATATGCAAAATCGGGACCAACCAGTCTATTATTAGTGGTGCTACTACCGGTTCTTTGATTATCAGAGTAGTGACAGCTGTTGAGAATAATATAAAAAATATTAATCAATAAAAATTAGTAAAACCAATTGATTCATATGAAAAATGATTACATTCAATCAATGTACCAGCAGATGCTGGAAAATCCCAAAACATTGTCAGTGACAATACTGCACAAGAGAAAATTTTTTTATAAATCATCATTGCTATCAATTTTAACTGAGTTTAATTTCTACAAATGTTTGCAACGTTGACAAGTTAAATAGTTATTTTTTCTTTTAACTTAGTTTCGTTATTGAACTGCAGTGTCTTTTTATCTAACAAAGAATTTCGGTAAATTGTTTTACAGGCTATAAATAAATTTGTTATCAGAGTAGAGCTGCGTTTGTCAAGCGAATAGATTTTGTTGTAATACTTTACTAAGGAATTATTTTTAAAAATTGAATATAATAATTAAAGTAAAGGTTGAAAAGGCTCTAAGTCGAATAAATTATCTTAATTAAACTTACCGGATTTTTTTAAGCTTAAATTAAGATTAAAATTATAATTATTTGAATAAAATTTTAATTTTGATATCTTCGCGACAAAAAAAATTTTTGCGTATTAGAAGAATTTATTTACACTTAGATTTTAAAGACATTTAATAAATAAAAGCCCAAAACAATTTTATTTTAATTTTTTAAAAATTACTAAGTAATTGCTAAATGTTCGAGCTTTTAAGATTATTAACATGCCTTTGTTAGCTTTGTCTGTATCTATGTATATTAGGGTGTGCCAAAATGTAACTTCCTTGATGGTCCTCTTAAAATTGGAATTTTGAGTTCCGCTTTTAACAGAAGTTGTGTTTAGGCAGTTCTTGACAAATTTTGGGCGTAAAAGATTTATTTGATTTTTATAGAACTAGAATTTGAATTTACGCGCGCAAGCGCGCGCTTTGACTATAGAGTTTGCATATATTTTCATGCTTATGATATATTCAACCAATCACGTTACGAATAGTTTGATGCCACATACATTTCATCTCAATTTTATATTAGGATTTTTTAATAGGAGTTTTGTTCGGCTAAATTTTGAAATTTTTAAATTCCAGCAAAAATGGCCGAACGAAACTCCTGATAAAAAATTCTATAAAAATCAAATAAATCCTTTACGCCCAAAATTTGTCAGGAAATGCCCCAACACAACTCCTGTTAAAAGCGGAACTCAAAATTCCAATTTTAAGAGGTCCATCAAGAAAGTTACATTTTGGCACACCCTAATGTATATAACGAAATCTTTAAACTCAATTTTTGGCCACTTCAAATCGTCAAATTGAATTAAAACTTTGCATATTTATAAAGCAACAATACAATAATTTGATAAGTTTGTCTCATTATCCTGACCAGGATCTCAAGAATTAGCGATTTTTCGATCCAAAGATCCATAGATAAAAAAATAAAATACACACTTTAGTGGTTAATCAAACTTAAAAGTAGAAGATAAATATTGATAGCTTAAAAGGCTAAAAAACATTTTTTGATAAAAAAACCAAACTAAAATATAGAAATAAATAAGTTTGAAATAAAAATAAAATGATTAACAAAAAAAAAGATGAATTTTATCGTAAAAAAGCGTGGGGTGCTTTTGAAGATATTTTCATAATAATGACTCTTTTTTTACCAGTTAATAAAATATTTATAGCCAATTAAAAGTCAAGCTTTTTTACACTGAAATTAATTTTTTTTCTTTACTTTTTTGGTTGATTCTTTATTATTACGTGTTTTATTTAAACAATTGTTTATATGCGACGGTGTTTTAATGGGTGAGGGCAATAGTAGCTGCGTGATAATTGACTCAAAGATGATATTTCATCAACATTTTTTTTATAATATCCTCCAAAATTCGAAATATTGAAAATAAAAATAAGATTTTTTTAATAATTAATGATTAAGACTCAATTAATTTCATTAATTTCATTTTTACGGAGAGTAATTTTATAAATATATTGCTTAAGACTGTTAAGAAAAACTAGCTTTTGCTTCGTCCAGATTTCATTAATGGCAAAATACGCCGGGAAATTGTCGAGTGTATCAATTAAAATTCCCGTTAGTTGAAAAGGATCTTGGGGATGACGTCGGCAAACTAGCGGAGACCCTGAGGATCTAGAAATTGTCTGAAACATTCAAAAGTATGATTATTTATATTGTTAGGTATGAAAAAATTATACACTAATGAAGATAATTCTTACATTGTCAACGATTTTTTGGGAGCTGGTTACGAAAATAGAGTCATAACTAACATACAAGAGTGAAATATTGCCATTATTTTTTATGTCATCGACAAATTTTTGGTGAACAGAAGCATAATAGATGGTCTTTATCTCTGAAGGCGTCAGAATTTTACCGTCAGGTATTACCTTGTAAAGAATTGCAGATTCAATACTCGAATTTGTTTGAGAAAAATTTGGAGCAATCTCAAGACGATAGCATTCTTTGGATTTTTGTTTATTGTGCATGTCTTGCGATGTCATTGAATGTGTGAAAGTCGCTGGAACCATCGAGTTTATCGGCTCTTTTAACACCAAAAGTACTGGCGTCTTCATATTTATATATTCATAGTTTTCTGATTGGATGTTCAAAAGAGATTTATCTGAGAAAAATTGAAATTTTATATTTTTATGTATAATTGACAGTAAAAATTAAGAATAAGAATTATGACAGTAAAAAAATTTTTATGAAAGTTAAAAAAATAAAAAAAAAAAAATTGGAAATTTAAACATAAAAAAAATTAATCTTAAAATTAAAACATTAAAAAAAATCAGAATTAAAAAATTAACAGAAAAAAATTAAATATAAAATTTAAATTAAAAAAACGTTTTTTATTTCTAGTTCACAAATTAATCTTACTCTGGTTTCAAAATTTTCTACTAAAATAGTAAAAATTTTTTCAAAATTTAAATCATAGAATATTTTCTTGACGAAAATATTATTTTTTCTGAATTGATAGAAAAAGAATTTTAATAGAAAATATCGAATAAATTAAATTATTTCAAAGAATTTCATTGGTTTGTATCAAATAACATTTATTTAAGCCAAATTAAATTTTGTTGAAAAGAAAAAAAATCTTTAATTAACAAAATCATTTTCAAAAATTTAATCGCTTTTTTTTTTTTTTTTAGTTTAAAATCATTTTTTTCGAATTTCTACACTAGTGTATAAAATTCTTACCCTGTTTCAAGAATCCGAAATAAACGTAACTATTCAAGAAGTACTGAACTCTGTGTAGCTGAGTTCGATTTATCGAAGCTCGGCTGTTTTTCCATTTGTAAATACTGACTGCATAAGAATGTGGTAAATAACTAGAATAAAATAATAATTTTTTAAATAAATAAAAAAAAAATAACAAAAAAATATTTTACTCACTTTCGGATACAAGCTCTAGATGCGAAAACAGCTCGGGGATGAATTAATACTCCATCACATATATGAAGTCCAAAGTCAGGTCCATGAAGTTGGATAATGGGTACTAATGTTTGGAGAACGGTTTTTATCGAATCATTCTCCAGGTTATCTGAAGGAACTGTTTTTTATACGAAAAAATTTTTTTTTAATTCAATGTTGTAGAGTAGATACATAAATATTATCTGTGAATTATTAAAGAAAAAAGTAATTTCTACAAAAATTTTACCTCGATCCTTTATTATCGAAGCTGTGTTGAAAGTAAATAATTGCAAAAATAGCGAAGTCAAAAAAAAATATTTTTTAAATTCAATCATTTTTCGTTATTTTACCACAAAGTACTTTCTTGAATATAAAATTATTAAAAATAATTTTTTATAACGCTCACAGTGTAAAAATATTTCTCTACTCGTAATAAAATAGTGATCAATTCAATTAGACGCACTGGTGTTATCTATACTTTTTATATCATAAAAAAACTATTAACATTTATCCTTGGTATTTTGATAACACGCATTATTGAAGCATAAGACACGTGTGTGCTTTATATAAGTTAAATTAAAAATAAAATTTATTGTGTGAAAAGTCAATTCAGTAACTGCTGACGTTATTGCGCTAAGATAAAGTACTTATAAGTTATATTTTAACTGATAGTTTCAATTGTATTATGAATTATGTTTGCCGCTAATTTTAAAGACCGAGAAAAAATTTTTTTTCAAGCGGTAATAAGTACTAGTTTATTGTGCGCAATTGCAAGACAATTTATTTTTGATAAAAATAATAGTCTTTAAAATTGGAAATTTTATCTTCGATTTAATAACCTTATGATATTGAGGATTTTTCTATTTTTTAATTGAACTAATTAAAAATTTGGAAAGTCCAATGAATATTTTTTTATCATATACTGTACTCGTTATTGATAAGGCTTAATGGTTAATGAGTTCTAGTTAAAAGATATTTGGAATGATAAGAATATTAATCCATAAATTTTGATATTAATTATATTAATTGAGGAAATATTTTTTTTAAATATAAAGTTTATATTATGAATAAAAAATTTTTATTTTTACATTTAAAGAGAATTATTTTGGGAATAAGTTTATGTCTTGATTAAAGAATTTTTTGTCTTGAAAATCTTTTTCTTAGTTTGGAAATTCGGAATCTACGATTAAAAGTATATTGCTTTTATTTATAAGAAAAAAAATTTTTAACTTAAATCTAATAATTGAAACTATAATTTTTAGAGCAATTGAAAACGCGTAGCTTCAAAAATTTAATTATTCGGTGAAGTATCAGGTTATTTTGTTTGTTGACAATAATAAATTGCTCCGTTAAATTTTTTTCTAATTTTATTTATTAATAAGCGGTTAAATTTCTTGAATTAATTTGAACTGAATATTTTGCAATAAAATTAAAAAAAAAAATACTTTTTTTGAATCAAGAATTTTTTTTTTCAGTATTTTTATTAAAAAAATTAAATTAGACATAATATAGTTAAAATTTTAAATAAATCATATTAATTTTGAACAGAGGCTAAAATTATCTTGTTTATTGTAATTATTAAAATTTTTTAATCAATATTAGCATGAAAATTTATCAATTAAATTGGTTGTTTTAAATTTTATTTATAAAAATATTTTATTTAGACAAATAAAAAAAATTTCGCTCAATAGACACAGTAAAAAATTTTGCGTTAAATATTTAACACTTTTTTGTGTAAATTTAATATTTATTCTGTTGAGTCAACATAAAAAAGTGTTAAATATTTAACATAAAAATTTTTTATTGTGAATTAATAGAAATCGAAAAATGATCTGTAATTTATGGCAGGAATGAAAGATCCCTTTGGGCACAACCAAGGTGGAATAGACAGGCAAAAGCGGTGGCATCAAGAGCGAGTCACCGGAGCGTGGAAATAGAAAGATAGACAAACGATGCCGAGTCAACCGAGTTTGAGGGTTGTGTATGCGAGAAAGAGAGAGGGATAAGGACCAAAAACACCATCAACCGACCGATTTGGGAAGTACCCGGCGATGCGGCAGTGCGCCAGGGAGAGAAATCGCTTCGGATAAATAATATGTCCGTCTCAGCTACTCGGGGTGCTCAGCTAATTAATTTGTATAATATGCCGCAGTTAAGCCGGCCATCAGTAAAGTCCGTTCTCTCTCCTCAGCAGAACCTTCATACTAACATATTTCCCTAACGGCCTTATAAATTACTACCCCAGAGTAATAAGTCTAAGTTGTACATGTGGAAATAAATCAAATTAAAGGATGTTTTCAAGAAACAAGTGTTCTATATCAAAATTTATAGTTTTTAATCAGATTTATTCATTTATTTATTTTATTATAAAACGACCCAACAGCCAGAAGGCCAATAACAGGCTCACAAAATAAATTATACAGAGCACAACATTTATAACTAAGGGCGTAGTACAAGTGAACATTTCCGCTTGAAAAAGGTTTATATGTTTCAAAATATATGATTAAATATATTGATATTATAATGTGATATATGGAACGATATATAAAATCATATCTATAATTTTGCCACAATAATATAAAAAAATATATTGTAAATAAATATATCATTCTCATGTATAAATCATATATTTATCAATATATTTGCTTCATGTATATGCACGATCCATATGTGTATGGATACAACTTTTTATATATTATGATACCTTATAGGTACGTAAAATAATGTATCGATAAATATATGGTGTTACATGATATATTATATATGGTTTTTATGTATTCGGTAATATAGCAGATGATATATACTTAACGATATATGGATCACCATATATTAATGAATATATTATTTAAAATACATGGTTCCATATATATGGAATAAAGTTATACTTTTCAATATAGACAATTTTGCCGCCATATATTCATCACTTATTTGCAATATATTGTATAATATATTTTTAACGATTCATAGTATTTTCATGTGGGTTATAAATGTTAGATCATTTTAGATAATACAATTTAGGATAATACAATACGTCGGGAATATAAACTAATCTGTTTAGTAATGAGAGCAAGTGCTCCCTAAGGACCATCATAATCAAGTACATAATGAGTACATAATATAATAAGTAATATAAAGTATGAGAATATGAAAATAGTTTGATCAACAACGGTGTGTTCAAAAATTATTTCTAAGAATTTGATGTCCAAATTTCAGTACAAAAAAATTACTGGAGTTTTTTTTTAAGGAAAAAGGAGATAAGAAAAAAATTTCAAAAATCCATGACTGTATGATATATAATTCTAAAAAAATATATGTTGCTAATTTATAAAGTACAGTGAAGAAGAAATTTAATATTTATCAATTGTTGCTGTGATTTCTATTTCTAATATTTCACGGTATTTCCTTTTACTTACTGAATTGAGCTACAACTGTTATTACAACACGTATGTGAGTGAAAAAAATTTACTGATTTGTAAAGACACTTATTTTTAACTTGTATATATACTTTATGGATTTCCTAATTTTTCAGGAAGAAAATGAATTTATTAAATTTAAAATTGATTCTTTGTCAGTCAGCGTGTTTTCAAGTTAAAAACATTTTTCTATTGATTAACAGAAACAATTACTATTCTACTTTAATTATTTTTTTATTACACTCAATAAATTTTTTAAAACTTGGATTATCGTACAGTAGTATATAGAAATTATGTCAGTTTCGTGAACTGACAAAAGTTTAATCATAAAAAATATTTTTACAAGTGAGTCTTGCTTCGCCTTTATTATGAGTCGTGCAATTATTATTTATTAAAATTTCAATTTTAAAGTTAAATTATAAAGTATTAAATAATTTGTAAAAATAATTTTTCCATTTTTTTAAGACTCAGTCACGTTTTCATTACAAAAAAATCATTAAAGCCTCGTAATTTTAGCCGTGCAAAATTTTATAAAAAATCCCAACAATATTGGTCAATATATCATTGGAGTAAAGCCTCCCCTAGCCTTAAAAAATACCGAATATATAAAACACCGTTGTAATTTAAACGGATAAAGTTTCACCCCGTGATTATGAGGATTGGAGGGTTGTACAGGAAGTTTTCCGTAACTTAGCCTCACCCGTTTATTCTTCACAGCGATTGCCGGAGAGTATACATAAACGGGGAGCCGAAGCAAGGGGTAAGATCAAGATATAACCGCGAAGAAAATTACTCTCAGCCAGGAACGTCTTTGCTGCCGTCCACCCCTTGGGGGAGTTAAGGGGGGCAGAAAAAGGAGTATCTGATGTACAGAAGGGTAGCGGAAAGAAGGACACAGAAATAATATAAATGCAGGGGGAGGGATGAATATATAAACGCTGAAGAGAATAAGCGAAGATAGTGCAGGAACCGGAGACTAAGAAAGGATGATGAAGAAGAAGAAGAATAAAAAATGGGAATGGAGAGTTTTAGGGGAAGGGGGTGGAGTATAGCCAGGCTCTTTAATGGCCGGATCTCGGAAATTGTGCGCACATATATCTGCTGGCAGATTTATGAAAGTGCTTTTCTTGTGAAGTGGGGAAAGCTCCTGGTGGTGTGCTTCTATCTGTGTATCAACGGGTAGCACGGTATGCTGTTGCTGCTTGGAACGGACGGTGGTGCTGCCACCGAATGCGCTGGGGGGAAATGGTGGAAGCGAGAAGGGTAAAGGGGTGGCAACAGCCAAAGACTGGTTGGAGGGGGGAAATATATACGCGGGTAGTATGCTACCCTCCGAACGAGAACGGGAAGGATTTCCTTCTCTTCTTCTCTTTCCTGGTGATGCTTACTCCCAGTTTCCAGTAGCGGTAGAACTCGCACTGAGCTGCACCTCCACCCCCGAGTTTGCCTCATCGTCGATCCGTCCTGAGAGCGACTCGACTCGACCCCTTGCCCTTCACCAGCCACAGTAGCACGCTCACCCTCGAGGTTCTCAGCACAACCTCAACTGCTCCTTCTACTTCTGCTAATTCTTTCTCTCTTCAACTCCGCTAACAGTGGTTCTGGTACTACTCTCTGGTGTCGCTCCCTTTCTGCCCCGGCTTTCAGCTATCGGGGGCTATATTTCGCGTTCGTGTAATTTTCCAGTGGGAGATTTATAAGACATTAAGGTGCGTTGTGTATACCTTGATGTGTATACAGCGGTCGTTTATCTTTATATTAGTCTTCATGTTTTCCGTCAGTCTATGATGATGAGTCTTCTCGGCTCGAGGCTCAAGAGGGCGAACGCTCAGATGAATTATCTCAAATCTTATGGAATAAAATTCCGTGGGTTCACGGTTATATATTTGGATTTGTTGATGGAATGAGGCGTCAGAGGAGCC